GACGCTCTTTTGTTTTCGCTCGCGGATTCTTAAGCGCAACACGAGCGCAGCGCATCTAATCCGGACGAGTGTACTCATGCGATCACGTGAGTACATCGCCGTGACGATGAAATCGTGTGATCTCTTTATGTTGGCGATGAAGATATTGGGTTTTCGGAGCCAAGACGGTTGCGCCTGTTGTTCTAAGAGTAGATCTTTTTTTCGTTGTACTCTTTTCTTCGTCGTTATCGCTACAATATCTCGTACAAGCGTCGTCCTGTTCACCGAGAAAAATGATTTTGTCATTTCGATAATGTATCTTATTATTTATAAGACGATAATCTCGTATAAGTGTTCGGATTTTTTACTGCGAATTAACGACAGGCGCTTTATGTTCCTTCTCGTCAACGTGTTTCTTGGCTTGACGTTAGTTCAATTATTTTAAGCTGGAAATGCAACAATCACGAGGCTGCGCGTCGAGAAGGGGGTCAACGTAAATTCAGGAAAGAATAATTGCGTCGTTATCCTACGTCATTTTGTCGTAAGTTAGTGGATTCAGAATCAAACATGCGTTAAATATGAAAAGTAATCGCGAGTATTGTGTGGGTGACTTAACGCGAAGGACGGCATGAAAGTTTTAGTTCGCAAGAAAAGAAGGATAAAAGAAAAAGAACCGAGTGCTCAGTCAGGCTGTGAATGTAAGGTCTGAGCCTCGGGCGTACGATGACCTTTCTTCTGCTTCGCTTTCTTGATCTTTTCTTTGTTTTTTTTTTTCGTCGAATACGACGTTATCGCGTGAGACGATAAATCTCTGATCTTCGAAGCGACTTTGTCGATTTTGTCGTAACGGGAAAAGTTATTATATGACGAGACCTCGAGATAATGTAATATTAAGCCACACTATTAGTAATTTATAGGTGATAATGTGATGTAGAGTGATGTACAGTATGCGAGAACACGATGTAGCGAAGTGTGTTTTCTGTTGAGCGACTGTTTTCGGAAGCATGAGTGCGTACGGAAGGGGGTACCGAAATTCACGAGCTTCTAATCGTTTCCGAAACCCCGAAAATGATTCCTCCTGATCTTCTGTGTCAACGGCCATATTTTACATGAGCATGAGAGTTAATACAAAATTAGTTAGTTGAAGGTAATAATGTCGTAACAAGTGGATTAGATTTTTCTTAAATTGTAAGATAATAATTTAGTATTGTATGTATATCGTCTCTTATTGAGGAATGTGTCTTAGGCAATTTCAATTTTAATGAATCTGATCTTGTTAGATATCATCGAGCTTGAAACCTGCTGCCTCACGTTTAGGAGTTTATATATGGATTGCATCTCTGCTATTTATATACAAAAAAGAACCTCTTAGGCTGAAACGATCGTTGTTCTCGCGAATGTAGGTACCTCTCTTACTCATTAATTGTTATTAACTTGCTCTTTGTACTCCTACTACTATAGATTGTCTTTATCTCGATTAATTCAAATCGGTTGATCGTGTAACGCTTTTCAACGGCTGACGATGCAGCGATAATAGTGCATCAGAAACTCCCGCTATTGACTCCTGTAAGTAAAGAAGTACGATGAAATAGCGGGGATGGATATGTTGATCCTCATGGGTGCATGCGCATATTGTACTTCTTCATCAATCGACCCTGGAGCACATTGTATCTAAGTGTCAATATTTTTTTAAATACATATCATCGACTCATCGTTAATTTTGTAAATCACGCGCGTTTCCATCGCGTCGCGGGATTTAGTTAGACAAAAAATGAAGGAAACCCGATTTATCGCGCAAATTAACGACCAATTTTATACTCTGATGTACTCTGACGAATGCGACCGCTGCTAAGAGGCGCTTCACGAGCGCGTCGCGATTATCGTATATAAATATATTTTATTACAAACACATTTCTCAACCAAATTAGGCTCGTTGATCGTTTAGATTGTAGATACGGGCGAAAGATGTCCTGGAACATAGTAGTATCCCGAATAGTCTGTTGGATCGCACCTAGAGATTAAATATTGTCTACTTATACGATTAAGTACAATCTGATGCGATTTAGGAGGAGGAGGAGGAGGATCTGTTTTTTTTCTCTGCGATATCTCGCAGCCGGAGGTGACTCGTCCCCTCTTTTTAAGTGCGAGTGTTGCGAGAAGCGTAGTTTTAAAGTCTCGAATGTTGCCCAGCGTAGTCGACGAGTTTGGAGTATACTTGAATGCACAAGATATCCAATGATTCCCGTATGGAATCCAATGTGGGTCGGATATCCGATCACGTTAATCGCCGCAAAAGTATTATGAAACAGGACGTGTCGTCTACGGCGCGAGTACCGAGAAAAGAAAAAGAGGAAAAAAAAACGCGATGCGCTTTCTGCTCTCTCACCGTGTTTGTGCGCGAGCAATCTTTTTTCTACACCATGTCGCTTGTCAACCGATGGATTTGCTCGTGTCAAGTAAGTTTGTATTGTCACAAATCGATGTGCTCAGTTTTAGTAATTGTCCCCTGACCCTTCATACCTTGTTCCTTCGACCGCTCCAATCCCTCGTCTCTTAAGTCTTGCTTAAGTGTGTGCGTTCGCTCGATACGAGAACTTGCTGTCATATGAGAAATGATGATAAAACCGTACGTTGTTCTGTATAAATTTTGTACTATAGTTTGTATTAAATAAAATACATTGTTTATTGCTTGAGTACACGTGTTATTCCTCATGGGGAATTTTACGTAAAACAAAAAAAACAATTGATTTACATATTATCTTTCTCTCTCTTTTATTATTTTATTTCATTTCTAACAGTATATTATGTGCATCACTGCGATATCATATTTTAATTTAATTTACTATAAAAAGAGAAAAATTAAATTATGTCAAGCTAAAACAAACATTATTATACAGAATGTGAAATATTTTATTATGTTTTTTTTTTAAATACCCTTTTACTATAATCACAGACATCAAAAAAATTATCTTATCAAAATCTTACACAGACTAGATATTTACAAACATTATATTTTAACATTACATACGTCATATTTTAACAAATGTAAACCGACTATATTTTGGAAACCATTTGTGTAAAGTAAATAATATATTTTTTCAAACTTTAAAACATGAATTGCGTAAAAAAAATACATATATGCATATCAAAAATAAATGTCACAAATCAATCAATCAGGCTGGGCATCTACTTCGAAAATCGTTGTTCCGGCGCAAAAAGCAAATTTGGGAAGAATCCGTTTACTGTACTTCGATTCTAACGGGCCGACATCCAAACTATACACACCGCTCTTTAAATTTCTGATCATAGCTATAGTCTGCAGAAACAAAGAGCATATATACTTACTATTAAATTATTCTGAAGTAAGAATAATGTAAAAACGGTTATTTTATAGAGCAAGTATGTACGAACATTTTGCATTAAAATCAGATCTCAGAATTTTCATAATTGCATTGATAAATTCTTTAATTTTCCTATATATCAAAATGTCTAACTCAAATATCAATAGTTTTTGTGTGTGAATCATAAGTAATTATATGTACAATATATATAATTATAATCAAGAAGCTTATACGTACAATGAATATCTTTTGTAAATTAAATTCCTAATAAAAGATCTAATATAATATTATTTTCCCGAAATGATACATATCTACTATATCGTATTATTTGTGAATAATATTTGCTAATATTATCTCTATCGTAATAAATTTTATAAATACAATAGTACGTTACAGAATCAAGTACATTAATGCTCAGTGATGAATAATCAACATTCACATATTTTATGACATGCAAAATATGCGATCTTTTCGTTTTATGCATTAAAATGTTATAAAATTCCATCGAACTTACAGAATGAGATCGTAGGTCAACGATTCTGAAGAGATTAACATCGCAACCACCGCACGCAATGTACATATTTGTTACGTATTTTCCAACGTATAATAAAGAGGAATAACTGTCTGGTTCGATAGTGGTGATCAATTTGCCGCTACCGTAATCCCACAATTGTAAAGGATTGTTCCTCTGCCAGGCGCAAGTAAGGATCTGTTATTCGTGAAAATCTGTAGTTAAAAACACTATAAAAACTTTTATATAAAAACAAAAATTTATTTTATAGCTTTCGAGATTCAAACAACAATAAAATATTAATATATGGGCAATGAGAGCATTAATACAGAGCGGTAATTGAAGCACATATAATATATTATTAATAATTTTATATTGAGTATTGATACAAATTTATCGAACGTTTCGGTTTCCTTCAAACCATCATCAGCAATACCGTAGATAACTTACCATCAATGTCTTTGATGGACTATAAATCTTGCAAAGACATTGATGGTAAATTATCAGGCATTGCTGATGATGGTTTGAAGAAAACCGAAACATTCAATAAATTTGTATCGATACTTAGTGTAAAATTATTGATAATGTATTTATTATATTATAATGCGCTTCAATTACTGCATTGTATTAATGCTCTCATTATCCGTATATTAATATTTTATTTTTATATAAAAATTATACATTTCTCTATCAAATAAGAAATAAATATAATAATAGGGCATATAGAGTTAATAACAAATTAAATTATATATTAAAAAACGAAATATTATATACTGTATTCTAAACAATTATAATTGCAATACGTTTTTCAGACATTTACTTAATATAAAGATGTTCATGATCTAATAGTGTTGATTGTGAAAAAATCATAATCGCATGTTGTGTGAACAATTGAACGTTAAACAGAGGAATCGAAATTGCTCGACAACAGGTTGGAAGGCCGATTGAACAAAATTTCATGACGTTCTAATAAAATTATAAATTTCATTAATCAACATCAAATAAAAAGCAAACAAATACATCATCTCGGTAGAACACTCACCAATATGTCAAAAATATTAATATAATTTAATAATATGATACTTGTCAACTTTCTATTAGTCAATAATAAATAATATATAATTTTAGTCATAATGTAAAAGCAACAGAGTCATAAATTACGTAAAATTATATTCTTTAATAAATAATTGTTAAATAAAATATGAAGATGTAGAACCAATCCAGGAATAAAATTAAAAATGTATAACTGTTGTGACTGACTAACAGAAAAATACTTAAATTAGTGTGATCTTGGCAACGCAAAGTTGCCTTGAGTAGATCTTGTTTACAATAGGAATGTATGCTTTATGTAAGCCCTCAGTGTTAGTTTGAAGATTAAGATGAAGGATTATTTTTCTGTTTTTTAATATGAAGCATCTCAGAAATTAACTGCATACTGTAACATGATCCTTTATCAAGAATTTCAATATTGTTCATCGAAATCATGTTCACTATCTACTCTATAACTGAGAAGATGTGTTCCAGCGTATATAATTTCGATGCTCAGCAATTCTGTGTCTCTTAACTGTCTATTAGTCTGTCCTACATACGATGCGTCGCAATTGTTATAATTAATTTTATAAACTACATCATTTTTAAGCAGTCGAGGACGAGGGTCTTTATGTATCTTGATGTATTTCTGTAGTTTATTCGAACTATAAAATGAAACTTTAATGTCATTCCTATTGATTAAATTTTTCTTAAAGATAGAATAAAAGGCACTGTAAACCATGATAAAATGGTTGATGGATCCACATTATTATTAACCCGATCAACCGCTACACTTCTAACTCTGATGTTTTTTAGTCTCTTATTAATTGTGTCAAAGATAAGTTTAAGTGGATAATTCAGTTCATTATTCAGTAAAATGTTTATTATAAGTGTTAAATTTTTCATGTAGAATTCAGAATCTGTAGTAAGATAGCTCTATCCACCAAATTGATAGATTTTTCCATCCTTTTTCTGAGATAATGGATGGTTAGAGAAGAAATTTTAAAATCTCCCCGAGAAACTAGATTTATGATACCAGTCAAAAGTTCAAAGATTATCTTTAATCGTCATTTTAACATCAAGAAAATTTAATGAGTTGTCTCTAATCTCTAGAGTGAGTTTTAGCGGGTGGAACGAAATGAAACATTCCAGAAAAGTTAAGATAATGGAACCGCAGCGCATAAGTCAACGACATATCGAAAATAAAAAAGAAGTGATTTTTAAACATACTCAATGCTATCTTCTCTAATCTTTGCATTACCAAATCAACAATAATAGATGATAAAGGAGAGCTCATGGGCGTGCCAAAATTCTGTTTGTAAATAATATTATCAAATTAAAAATAAGTGGAATCTAAAATTAATCGAACTACAATCAAAAACCCTTTTTTAGATAATTTGCATTTTTTCGAAATAAAATTCCAGTTGTCATTGATACAATCTAAGAGTATGTCTGTCGGAATGTTTGTAAAAAGAGAAACCATATCTAATGAAATTAATTTATAATTGTCATCCATGTATATGTATTCTTTTGAACTCCATCAACGAGTTGGAAACTATTTTTTATATAACTTTCCGCTTTTGGAATTGTTTTAAACATCGTGTTGTGTAGAAAAGAGGCTAAGGCGTACAACGGGCTACCTATGGACGACACAATAATTTTAAATTGGCAGTTCTGTTTGTGAACTTTTGGTGTATAAGCTCTTGAAAGTGACCCGTCACTGCATGATAAATATCTATATTGGGAATCGGATATATAATATTTCCATCTTTTAATTAACATCTTTTCCATCCTGAAAGCAGATTTCTTAGAGACGTTGTGATTTTTATAATTAAAATTTGTGTGTGTGTGTGTGTGTGTGTGTGTGTGTGTAAAAATTAGATTAGGATGAGATTTCATAAAATCTTTTGTTACTTTTTCTAATTTTAATAGTTCCTTGTCAATAGCCGATGTATTAAGAGGAGAAGATATGATATTATTTAAAATTGATATTGAATGATTTGTAATATCTATTCTTTTATCAATGGGAAATTTCCAGATACTATGTTCAATGCTTTTAACACAATGAAATATAATATTATTCTTGTTATTACTGGTTTATAATTTTATTAGAACATCATGAAATTCTATTCAATCAGCCTTCCAACCTTTTATCGAGCAATTTCGATTCCTTTGTTCAATTATTCACACGACATGCGATCATGATATATTTTTTTCACAACAATACTATTAGATCATGATAATATCTTTATATTAAGTAAATATCTAATTCGAAAACCGACACATGTAATAGCGTATTTCAATTATAATTGTTTAAAATATAGTATGTAATATTTCGTTTTTTAGTATATAACTTAATTTGTTATTGACTCTTGCCCTATTATTATATTTATTTCTTATTAATATCAAGAGTCCTTTATTATTATTGTTAATCTCTATCAAATGTCATGTTACAAAAATTATAAAATTATCGCAGTTATAAATGTGCAATTGCTATAATTCTTAAATTTATTAATATACAATATTTGACGTAGCAAATTCCAATTGGACTCATTCAGTGCACACTGGTGCATATTAAAATCATTGTACATAAATTGATGTAAAAATATATATTTAGCACAAACATAAAAACGGGTTAAACCCTTAATAAATGAAATCCTTAATAAATTTTATTGTGCTGTTAAATAAAATATATATTTTATGATTCAAAATTTTTGCATTTCATTTTACATTTAGATTAAAACAGTGTATAACGGCTTTAATATGCACTAGTGTGTTCAACTGAATTAGCTAACGGATTTAATGATTCTTCACTATAGCCATAAATTTGAAAGTACCTCTTTTCCATTTCTATTGATGTCTAAGCCGTCCCCACATATATGTACACCTGATATGAACCGAAAAGAATGAGCTTGTCTAGTATCCCAGAACTGTATGGTGTCGTCCCAGCCACCACTTATCAGCTCGTATGCAGATTTCGGATTGAAGCAAGCGCTGAAGACTCTGGATTTATGTCCGTCCATGACATCCGGCTTGTCACTGCATTCGAAAATTACGAGATGTTTTGATAAAAATCTCAATTTTTATTAAATCTCTAAATGATAATATCTCAATAATAATAAAAAGAACGGCCAAAGATGAGCAAAGACAGATAGAATAAATAAATAACATTTACTGCCTAAGAAAATATAAGAAAATATAATATACATTTCGATCGATTCAAAGTCTTCTTCAGTTTAAAAAACATACATGCGTAAATTGACGCAACATTATTTCCTTTTAATTATTTTTCTTATTATTGTGTTTTTTAAAGAAGAAGACTCTGTATTGGTTGAAACCTATGTTATATTTTCTTAATATTTGTTTTTGCTTGTCTTTAATCATTTCTTTTTTTATTATTGTATGCAAGATCTCTTTTCAGAGATGGAGAAATTTCTAATATATTTCTTCTTGAGATAATTACCTTCCGTGAAACTTCATCATACAAATATAAAATCGTATCGTCCCCGACAGTGACGAACTTCGGTAATTGAGGATGATAAGCCAGACCGAGCGTTTGCCGTCTTTCTCGTATTGTATAAAGGCATTGTGCGGTTGGATAATGCCAGCATTTAACGCAACCGTTGGCATCTATATGAATAAATAATAACATTAATGTAAAACTTTATCCTTTTAACGAATGTAAAACTTTCAATCATAATTTTAATCTTTAAATTAAATTTTTTAACGTTATATTGTTTATAGCTTATTCTATAGCTTGTTACCATCAATATTAATTTTTAAATTAATACTTATTTTACATAATTTTATGAAGCTTTATATAAGCATCATCCTTAAAGGCAAGAAAAAATAATTTAAAATGTTAATATATTTTTTAATATACTTAAAGTTGGATTAGTATTTTTAAGATAAATTAATATTTTTTAAATTCATTTTTTTAAGAATGAATAAATAATATGGAAATCTATTTTTATTATTTTGCTTTGCTCATTTTCTTTTGCACGGTATTATTCTATCTTTAAAAATGTAAAATAAAAAAATTGCATCTTATATTACACCATGTATCATATAATTAACATTATATCAATATTCTCTCTCTCTCTCTCTCTCTCTCTCTCTCTCTCATATATATAAAATTGTTTTTAAAATCTTAATTATTTCTAATTATGCAATAAATCCAAAATATAAAATTTAACAATATTTGTTGATTTTACTACAATTTTTTCGATAGTGAGCTTAAATAATTTCCAGATTATATAAAGATTTATTAGATAATAATTAAATTTATTATATAGTAATTAAAATAAAAAGTAAAAGATGTATGCGATACTAACAAGTCGCTATCACAGTATGAGTGATCGGATGTGTTTTGCTCACTGGTCGGTGCTTTACAGCGGTCACTGGAGACGGATTCAGCATGATTTCCGTATCGCACAGGATCAACGTATCCTCTCCCGAGTCAACTTTGTAGAACTTTACATTTCCGTCCGACAGTCCTGCCGCCAAAAAGTCGTAATTTTCCGTATAGCAGATGCAAAGCACGTCTTGATTAACTTCCCTGCAAACTGTTCACTTTGCAACTTATTTCAAATGAATATAGCTGTTTAACATAAACCTGTTCGAAATTAGATAAAGGATTACATATTCACTTACGTCTTTAAAGCGTTTAAATTATGAAAGATTATTCTTAATTTAAAAATCATTAGCTATGAACCATTATTTACAATATTTGGCATTTTTAATTTTTTCGACATTTTTCTTCACACAAAAATTGAATTTATCAAACAATTCATATATAATAAGAAATACAAAACGAAAATAGGTCACAAATTGATGTAATTAATTTTGACTTTATAAATAAATAAAGATTCTTTGTAAAAAAAATCATCAATTAAAGATGTTGTTTCTTAATTAATATATCTAAAAAAATGACTGTACATTCATACAAAATATCCATGCTTAAAATGCGAATGTAAATGATTTTCTTCTATTTTAAGAGAATGTAAATATACAAATAATAATTATGATAAATACTGCTTACATTTGATTGATAATATCGATATTGCCGACTAATTGATAACGATGCTCGATGTCAGAGATGGTTTGCATTGATACTGATAATGGAGTGCATCTTTCATTGGTGACGATTGATGCTATTGAAGGTGTAGGTGTCTTATTGAAATAAATCTCGCTGACATCATTTTGAACGGTTGAATCGATGATAATATTGGAGAGCTCTTTACTATTTTTATCTTCCATCTAGTAGCAGAGAATCAATTATTATTTACATTAAAAAACTATGTTTTTTAAAATATTACAAAGATATGATATGACTAAAATGGAAATAAAAAATGAAATGAAACAATTCTTAAAGCTTAAAAATGTCGTAAACATTTTCAAAACGCCGAGAACATTCAGAAAAACGATGACGAGTGCTTTGAATTTCAACTACAAACTTTAACAAAAATTTCGAAGCTTTACATTAAAGATGTATGAAGTGTATTAATGTTATGGGGGATTACTTCGAAAGATAAAATATATTTTTTATTGCTTTTATTTATTGTTATATTTTATAAGATGTTAAACCATGTATATTTATTTATTAATATTTTATTCATTAATATTTTTGATTTAGTTATTTTAAAGAGAAGCTTCTATAAGGCAAGAAAAATTGCTTTTATAAGGCAAATCAAATATTCTTGTCCTTTTTCGTGTATCAACAATGGAGAATTAAGATTGTTAATTTCAAAGTTACAGAGTGCGTTCGGAAAGACGTTAACGCTTTTTGTATCATTCTATCCTTGTTTTATGTCTAATGAACTATAAAAATAGAATAATATCAATAGCTCTAATAGCTTATTCCCAAACGTTCCATTTATCGTCATTGTGACAATAGGGAATTTTTGCAATATTGTTTATTTAGATACAGTGAATGCTAAGGTCACATTAGTTCCTCTTTAATAACTAATTAAAAAAAGAATAACATGACTTTAGCGTTCACCGTATTTGGATCCACGTTATTGCAAAAACTCTTTAATATGTCTTTAACGTCAACATAATGATAAATAACGTCAACTTATGTTGAAACATCTGCAGTATATTTAGAAAGTTATATTGTGTAACTGTAACAAAAATGAAGAAATAAAGAACAAAAACTGTTTTTAAAAGTAATTTTATTTACTATTTTACAAAAATTTTAAATAGAAACTACGTTATTTAAAAAAAAAAATAAATCAGAAATGCAGAATAGAATGTAATATAAGTAAAATATTATTATTAATATTGCAACATATTAACCTTATTGAATATTAAAATAGGATTTCCACTTGATATTAATGCGCAGAATTCAGAGAATACAAGCTGGATGTGTTGCTTATATAAGTAGAATTTTATAAAGCATCATATTCTAATTTTAAAAATTTATAGATTATTCAGACCAAAAAATTATAATAGCTTGTTATCAAGAAACTGGAATTTGAAATATAATTTCTGACCTGTCAAAAATTTTAAATGACGATCGCAGTATGTACAGTTAAATTGATAAATACTTAGGTATGTAAATTTTGATTTTATATATATTTTATATATATTTATAAATTATAAATATTAAAATAAATATTTATCTAATTTAATAAAGCATGAACGTGAAAAAAATTTATACACAGAGAAATGCTCATAATATTTTTTCAAATGTACATAGAATATTCATATTTGGTACAAAGTTAGCTAACAGGTATACGAAAGATGACATAGTCGAATAGACCTCAAGTGACTTAGATTCGACTGATTTTCTACATGCTTCAGATATATTATTATAGATAAACTGTAAAGATAAAGCGATATACATAGAAACAAAATATGTATTAGAATAAAAAATGTGTCTATTGTTCATGAGATAATCTGCCGTATAATAGTAACCACATAGTGTTTCGCATTTCTATTTTATCTTCTATTTTTCATTGCTTATCACAGATTATTATTTCGATTTTGTTTGATTCAAAATTGTTGCGTAATTTCGAGCTCTTTTCGTTACGATTGAATGATCTGTTATTGAATATGATTTTTTTTTATCGTTTTAATTCAACTGAGTTAAAAAAAAGTTGTACCATAAAAATATAAATCATGAATTCTACTTCATTTAATAGTTAAAAGGAACATAAAAAGAACTACGTAAATATGTATAATAAATGTTACATATTAAATTCCTTATTTTTAATAATTTAATGAATTAATCGCTTTTATGTATATTTTATATTAATACGTTTCCTTCATTATACAGCTAGCGTATATTTTTTGTATAAAAGTTTTAAAATAATAACTATAGAATTTCATGTAATTACTGCTTTAATTTATTTAAACTTTTATATGTATAAAAATTTTTTATGTGGAATCCAATTCATTTTTATAGATTTAAAATATGGATTCACACACAGATGGATTGAAAATTTCTAATTTTAATCCATTTTCGTTTGTTGGGCGGATAACTATTTTTATGATATACTCATGCTTTTATTTTCTTTAAAAGTGGTTTCACAGACTTATTCTATAATTCTTAATGAAAATTTCATTATCATTATAATGCCGTTGCGCAACTCTTTTACTATGATAAAAAACTGTGCAGTGGGATTATAATGATAACGAAACTTGCATTAAGAGTTGCAGAACTCCTAATTTGTGCGAAATTTTTGAGACATTTATCGGTATATATTGTGTCGTGTTTAAATTTAAGAAACATGAAAAAATAATAAAATGACCCAATCTATCACAAAATGGCGGCGAGTTTGTAATATTTAAGGTACCTTTTCATGCTGATGCTCGACGCTTATTTTTAGCGTTATAAACAGATCACGTGATAAAAATTGACGAATATCGAGCGTCGATTTCGATCTCGTGACTTATTTTGACGCTAAAAATGAGCGTCGAGAGTCAGTACAGTATGTCTTATTCGCGTTGCTTGCACTTTTGGTACTCGATTATCTTCGCTTTCTCTCTTTTCAAGGCAAAATATGTATCTATCTCATTTTAAGTGCAAAAATATTTGAGGATTTCATGCAACGCGAACAGGGCCCATGAAAAGACACCCTTACAAATCTAGTGACTTTATTTGTGGAAGAAAAAATCTAACCTACAATCAGATCAGAAGATGTGCGTGTGTCATTGGGAGTATTGGGGGTGTTGCTCTGACCCGCGTGCGACAACAACGAATTGTGCGATCGTTTCTGACGACGTGTAAGTGTTCGAACATTTCTTGCGGAGAGCTATTGTTGCGCGCGTGAATACGCGCGTGTGAAATCGGGAGACGAACACGGTGCACGCGCGATCAAAAGGAGACATTCGAAGGGCAAGGCAAACGCGACTTACGCGACGATTATTTTCCACGGTAGAACCAATGTTCTCACGACAGTAACGACAATAATATCGCCGGGGATTTGGAAGCACGCGTAACACCCGTCTCGTGCTCGACAGCGTTTCTCTTTAACGTTTCGATACGTGACGCGGACGATCGCTAAGTTTCACCTTGAGCTTCATTCCCATGATATCATCGCGAAACCATTCTCGCATATTTGCCAATCTGAGCGTTATGCAATCTGAGCTCTGTCATTGTATTCTACCCCGAATTGAAATCTTTATTTACTTCGTCAGGTGAACAACGCTTTCTCTCTCTCATACTTGTATGCACTTGACGCGGGATCCTCGTGACTCTGAGAGACAGCATATGTGCTCAAAAATCTTGTTGCTGAGGTTCTTTATAAAGTAAACCTGCGAACGTCCTATCCCTGTTATTAATGTGCAGGATAACTGACTAATAGGATTGTACGCAAGTAACTATATGGAAATAATACTTCCTTGTATAATTAAATTCCGAAATAGTTTTACATTCTATACGACTGTTTTTCACATTGAAGGTACATCCAATAATGTCATCGATTAATAGTATCGATTCCCACGGGACATTACAGTGGGATATGATGGAATTGGCTCGTCATTTGCGGCAGGAAAGACTATTTGTTAATTCAGAACAGCAGAACTTGCAGACTCTTAATGAACGAGTAAGTAACATGGATTACATATAACAATTTGTGGTTCTTCAATTATAATTAATTACAAGTACTGAAAATCTGGATATATAACTTACAGATTTTCAGTATTTACAGTGAATAACAGAACTCAACCTAGGAATGTATTCTGTTTCAAACACATGATGTACATGATGTATCATGTTATTCTTGTTATTTACTAAATATTAAAAAACAATGACAACATCATATATATGAAAGAATACATCCTATATTGATCATAACATTTGATATATGACCTTCAATACAATAGGGTCATTCCTGTGTTTATTTCTTTTCTTTGAAATAGAAGGATTTATTAGTTAAATAATGCTCTATTCTTTTCATTTTTTTTAAATATATAACTTTGCAAATATTTTAAAAGAGAAGTATGTATGTAAGCATAACCTAATAATTTTTGTATACTTGTAAAAGTGATGAAAATTAACTCAAGACACAAACGATCCATCGTATAATAAAAGATTAGAAAATCATGGTGTATAAAGGTTACAAAAGATAATAAAAATCTATAAATATAATATTAATTTAATAGGAATGTATCTTAATAAGACTGTTGTGTCTAGGTCTTGTACGTCTCATCGCAGTTAGCGCAGCAAGCATGGATAACTGCTCAGCAAAGAGTCAATCTGAATCGCCTGATAGTGGCAAGACCAGATTGTACTCCAGCGTCATGTTGCCTAAGAGCAAACGCATTGGAAAATTCACATTTTATCGACGCGTACAAGTACCTGCGCTATCAAGCATGTTTGTCCTATGGAGAATTTTTAGGTGCACTACGAAAGTCACCCAAGCTCCTCGCTTCGTGTTTGGTCGAAGGGGACAGAGCCATCCCAGAATCAATGCAGACAATTGTACAGTGCTTAGCTGCTGGATTATACGGTAGCTGTATATTGCCAGAGGATAAAAGTTTAGTCCTTCAGCTGCTGAGACATCTTATGTTACTGCAGATAATTCCATCTGACAACCCACGAAGATTGCTTAGGCATGGAACGTGCGCATTTTCCAGATTTTACTCAATCTTTCATGAAAGCCTGTTCTCCGCAAAGCTTTTCTTAACAGCAGCTTTGCATAACCCTATAGTTCAGTTACTTATGGAAGATGAAATGTTCTTGGACATTGATCCGGATAAAGCGCCTATTAGATTTCCACCTGCAGAGAGATTGAAGAAATTCGGGAAGGAAGGCACAGCCGAATATCAAGCGAAGTTACAGCGTTATAGACTGTGGACAGTTAATTCTTTGTATCGTATTACGCAGAGATTTATCGTCAATATTCGTGAAACAATACATTGCTTTCCTACGAGTGTTTGCTGGCTTGTAAGGCAAATGGCAGGGCTTCTTAGTAAGAATGGAAATGTAGATCCAAAAGAAGTGCATGCCATGTGCACTGATCTTGTATTCACATACTTCATTTGCCCTGCTATAGTTAATCCTGAGCCTTACGGCATTACCGATGCACCGATAAGTTATGTTGCAAGGTTCAATTTAATGCAAGTTGGACAAATTTTACAAATGCTTTCGCTACAAAAGTATCAAAATATCGATAACAAAGTTATTGATCTTTATAAAAAATTTGAGAAGGATTCAGTGTCTTCCATAATAGATTCTATGTTGGATGGTGCGACAGAAGAGTTGGAGGAGGAACCAATGATAATTGACAATAATAAATTTCAAGGCCTGTCACGATCCGCAGCATTGTTTACGGAAAGTGAACTGAATTCCTTAATTACATTTTTGAACACGATTGTTGGTGATAACAATGGAGAAACAATATTGCATAATTCATTTGATAGAAAACAATTAGCAGAAATGCTGTCACAATTACCTTCGGGTTTACTGCATAATAATAAACTAAATAATGAATATTTGGAAACACCTAGTAAACGAGGTGTTGCTGCAGGGAAAGGTATATTATCTAAATAATATAATAATGATTGTGTATATATTTTAATTGTTATAGTATAATGTTAAAATATTTTATAATAGGAAAAGGACGTGGTATAAGGATGACTACATTCTCACCAAATGTAACAAACGAAAGTGGAGAAGAAATTAACGGCACTGCAGTCCCTGAAGAAGAAACTGTAGATAAAAATTCTCACGATGTGCTAGTCATACCTTTTGGTCCAACAATTGGAGAATCCGTAGGGCTACTCAGTGAACAGAAAGTTTGTACATGTATCAGTATTAATAGATTTATCACATATTTTATTGCTTATTTATGTATTTAATTTATTTAAGAAATTACATCTTGTATGTATGTTTATATAAAATTATATGCTTAACTTCAAAAAAATATGTTTATAAATTTATACAATTTTATGAATTTGTAATTTATTTTATAAATTTATAAAATTATAGTGTAATAAATAGTAATATAAATAATTGGTTTTTTGATGTCTATGTAACAAAAGTTTAAGGAAGTAATAAATTTAGAACTAATGATTAAAGTTATCAAATGAAAGATTTTATTTCATTATTTATAGGTTCTATGCATGGAACTCCAAAGTGGTATGGAGAATGGACCTGTTACTTTGAATCTGCCTGATGACGCCTCTAATGAACATCCTAGACAAGAAAATAGCAATGTCGAACGTATCGAAACGCAAGAGAAGAGAACTCGATTCTCACTCTCACATGACGAAGGTATATCAATTACTGATATTTAATATGAATTACTGATTGTTTTAATAGTGTTCATGTTTTTTAAAATAGCTAAAATTTATATTTACACGTATTCCATTAATTTTGTTTATTTATATAACTTTCTTTGATTTTATTTTTTGTTAATCTTTTTCATATCATTAAAAATTAATATTAAAAATATAACCATTAAAGAATTCGTTACTTGGCTTTCATAACACATCTACATTAAAAATAATTAGTTTTGTTCGAAGGATCGATTGGCAATACGTCCGATAACTTGGAAGCTGTATCAGAAGCTGCTTCCAATCACAGTGTCGCTTCTTCTTTAGAATTAGAAACAGAAGATCAAAACGATAACCTTTCAGACATGGTATCTGCTAATGTATCGGGTAGAGGAACTCCTAATATATCAGGTACATTAATTCTATTAAACTGTTCCTTTTTTGAACATTTAGTAAATTTACCAATTATAATTATAAATTGTAATTATAAATTATTTAATCTAATTGTTTATAATCACCAGGTCGAGATACACCATCGTCCCAGATTACTGAAGGAGATGATGGACGCGCTGCAGGTGAAGTAAGGCAGTTGGATTTGCCACCGCCTAATATCCCAACCAAACAAAGTCGATCCGAAATTGATGACAAATTTTGTAAATTTGAGATTAAAAAGCTTATTGAAGGTAAATATACAATAAATTAACAAGACATACACATTTAAAACGAACAATATTTATTTAGCATCACAATTGTTATTAATACTTATGTTAATAATACTTATTTTTTGAAACAATTAAAAATTACAAGTTTAAATAAAAATTAAAAAATGTACGTACTCTCGCAATTGTTAAAATAATAAAATGTGAAAATACGTGAAAGGCTAATGAGAGTGAAGTGCTGTAAAAGTTGCGCAATTTTATGTGTAAAATTTTCAATTATATTTGTATTCGACTCACGTTCAAGTAAAGTCTTCAACAATACCGCATACAATTATGATACTGCATACAAAAACATAACTTAAAATCCACAATACATTTTGATAAGGATCTTAAAAATCACATTATGTTAGATTGTGTTAGAAAGTTTGAAATTTTGAAATTGTTACTTGTTAAGAACGATTGATTGAATCTAACACAATGTGATTTTTAAGATGCTTATCAAAATATTGCGGATTTTAGATTAAGTTTTTTTTGTATCGTGATCCTTGGATTGGAAATAATGAAAGTTGATCTCACTCGTCTTTCACTGGAATTACCAACCATGTGTAATGATGAAGCCTGATGATAAATAGAGTTTTTTCGCCAAGGATTCACAACTAATTAATATAATTGTATGCGATATTGAAGATAACTCAAACGTGAGTCAAAACGTACAAATATAATTGAAGATTATACATATAAAAATTGCGCAATGTTTACAGCGCTTCACTCTCATTAGCTTGTATTTTCACATTTTATTATTTCGACTTATTTTTTTATTATTAATTTATTTATATTATAATTATTTATATCTTATACTTTTTATATCTTATACTTTTTAGGAGATGAAACTGTTTCTATGGTATCCGATACTTGGTCTACAGATGTGTTGGCCTCAGATAGCGAAATAGTTGAACAACAGGATCGAATACTGCTTGCTGTTCCGCCTGAACAGGTTGCACCTCTAGCGATTCAGAAAGATTAACTGAAGTAGATACTGATGACACTGCTAGCGTTGCTAGGTATACATTATTATATATTACATATTATGTTTATAAAGTATTATTCTATTTGAAATAAGATATCCGTTAATTGAAATAAGATATCTAATTTGCATTATTCGCACAGATCTGATGATACAGCCAGATCGGAAATCGAAATAGAAAGTCGTGCTGATTCCGAGGGGAATGAAGAAACGCTTCAATCTGCAACCCCATGTAAATATAATGCAATTATATATTGCAACATTAGCAATATCTCTCTCTCTCTCTCTCTCTCTCTCATCAAATGATTTTTTAATTACAATATGTATAATTAATAATTTCAGGTCCGGATGGCTCAAGCATCAGTTTTTCGACAATTTCAGGGATTCGAGAAGATTCTGGCATAGGAACTTCAATAGTTCATCCATCCCCAACAACATCTCCATTACCATCGTCATCAAATGTAACAGGTCGTGGTGGAACCAAATCTGATTACCGACGTAGTACAATGGAATACGTAGACAAAAACGCTAACAATATAAGCAATATGGATTATACTAAACCGTTACGGGATGACAGGCTGGTCCACTTGATAGATAAGCTTCAAATTGACAATGGTAAGCAAGTTGAACGTCAAGCACCTGCGCACAATCACATCGCTGCGGCTGCAGTCGCACCAGCGTTGCTATTAGCTAATCATATTTCTGCGCCTGTTTTGCCAGAGAAGCCCCAAAACGGTGATTCGAAAACAGAGGTTTGTATTGCTTCGCTTAATCTTTTTCTATCAATCTATTACTTTTTTACTTTCGAAAATATTTGAGATCTAAATGTGAATTTTGTAAATCAGGAATTGGATAGCTGTATAACATCGGTCGGAGATACCGTAGGCCGATTAAGTACGGCTAGCTTAACATCTAGCAGTAGTTCCGGATCGGAACCTCGTGTGAAAAGTAACATTTCAGCATCGGATTTACCAACACCAACGATTAATGGCACTTGTGATGCAGTAGATGGATCGATTCCCAATTTTTCCAAGCCAAATGCATCAACGGGAGCTATTCCAAAGAGTATAAGCTTTGACATGACTGCTGAACGTGGCGATAAGGAATTGTTGGACGATGATCAAAAGAACAAACGCGGTTTCTTTGGTAAATTAAAAATGACATTGAGAAATCGTAGAGGTAAAGCAATTCGTGGGGCGGACGACAGATGTTTTGATCGAGAAGCTGGTGGCGACGGCGTCGATATGTGTAGGCACAGATTACGCAGGATTATGTCGGAAGATGTAACATCATCTGGTAATGTCGCGGGCGGTAAGAAAAATAAATTTAACTAATTAAATTTAACTAATATTAATGATTATTGTTAACAACAAAACTCTGTTTTAATAATTTTACATGTATATATTAGGTGTTGGAATTAATTCGTAGCGTTTTTAATGAAAGAATGTTATTTATTTCACATGAGCATTAAAAAATACATTAATGAAAGTACTTCCCATCACTTGTAAAACGCTACGAATTAATTCCAACACCTAATAATTGAATCGAAGTTAAATTGGAAAGTAGTGTTAAATAGGTGAAAAGTTTTCTCGTAAGTTTTCTTATTTTGGACAGCAGTTTATTAAATCTCCTCATTACATTTTTTTAGATACTACCGATGATATATTAGCGAAATATAGAAGAAAACCAAGCGCAACTAGCGATACAGCATCAATCGAAAGCAATCAATCTCGTACAAAAGAGGTGGAAGATGAAAGACTTTCAATCGATCCAAATAATGTAGAACTATCTTATGCTTTCGCGGATGCTAAAAGAAAATTACGCATGGTACTTAGTACTGCTGACCTTCAACACATTCCATGGAATACATCGGAGGTATTTATTGTATTAATCTTCTTGTCACGATATACAAAACAAAATTTGTTTTTTTAGTATTCAAATATTCACGTAAAAAATTTCGTTACAGAGACATTGTTGGTCGCAGAAAGAAAACGAACTAGTTGCGTTTTTGCAACTGCAATTGGCAGAAGCTATAAACCTGCAGGATAGGGCATTAATAGCTCACCTTCATGAAACTTTACGTTGTGTGCGTCTATTTAATGATGACGGATGTAGGAAACTCTTCAAATCTCTTCGAGAAGATTATCAAAAGCGATCCCCTTATATCGCGTATTTAATTAGATGTCGTCAAGGGTTACTGTCGACGTTAGCTCACTTAGATAGGTACTATCTACATATAAATATTTGTGTATAATATATAAGTATGTATAAAATGCGGCTATTTAATAATTATTATAATATCTTTTAGATTATGCGTGCGAGTTAAGTGCGATCGAGATGCTATCAATAATCATCTCGTATCTGTTTGCGTAAGGGTATTTTTGGAAAAAAGGGAGGCTTTTCTCCTGCGTTTTTGCGATGAGTTTAAAAAGCTTACGCTGGCTGATGAGAAACAGGATCTTGTGGATAATTTCCTAGGAAAGGTCCACGCCGAAATGGACAACGATCCGATTTGGCAATGTACATAAATATAATTATTTATTTAATTAATCTTAGCTAAGGAATACTTGAATTTGCTTCTTACTTTCAGCGGCGAGCGCGAACCAATTAGATTTGGCGAGAGTCGTAGTGGAAAGAACCGTCATGGCACGGGTATACCACAATGCACTCTATCCAAATGGAGATGGAGATGTATATAGGGACCAGCTTCTTCACGATCATATTAAAAAGTTGGCGAAGGTCGTAACTCCAAATCACAAGGACCTACGTATTCCAAAGGTTTATCATTACGAATGCCCCTGGCCATGGGCACAGGCTGAATTGGCTGTGATATCGGCGTATAAGACTCCTAGGGATAAGTTGCAGTGTGTATTTCGTTGCGCGACTACCATCATGAATCTTCTTTCCATGGCGTCGGAAAGAGGCATACCTGCTGCCGACGATCTTATTCCCGTGCTGGTCTATGTCATAATCAAGGTACGCGATTGAAAAGAAAAGATAATTTTAATAAAAAAAGTGATTGTTAACTTATGCTTAATTTCAGACTAATCCACCGTCATTATTATCGACTGTTCAATACGTAGACAGTTTTTACGGGAATCGATTAGAGGGCGAAGAACAATATTGGTGGACGCAGTTCTGCTCTGCGATCGAGTTTATTAAGACAATGGATTAACAGTTTCTCAGGAGTATCATGATAAATAAGATTAGATTCGATGCTGGTGATAATGTAGAAATGTATCATAATCATAATTTGACGATTTCTTAAAGAAGACCAATATCTTGTGTAAAGCTAGCTGAATAGTTAAACGCTTCCAATTTCTTTTCTTTTTATTAAAATTCTTAAACATAGCCTCTTAAATAGCTAAAGTCTAACTGTTAGTGTGTTCTTTCGCACGTTATTATATAACATTAGCAAAGACTGAATCAGATTATACGTAAAGTATGGCTTTATCTTTATTTGTAACTGTATTGTAAAATTTCACAGGACATCGAAGAAAAGAAACGTTAGATAGTCTATAATTTATGTGTAAACAATACAAAACTTATAGAATTGATAATCATTTAGCAGGATAAACTGTGTTGGAGTACTCTTTCTACGCGCACCTTTCCCAAGAACCGAGACTTGAATCAGATCCATGAAAAATATCACTTTCGTAGCGCTTTTATATAATTTGATTTAGAATATATATCAGAAATATTGCGAGGGAAAAAAAAGACAGAAGATTTATCTATATAAATCGATCGATATATAAGAAAGTATAATAAAAGAGGCTAGCTTTAGAGAATTTGAGCGCATAATACTTGTTAATACTGCGAAATAGTTAACATTATATTGTCAAGCACTATCATTAATATTATTAATAATGTAAATTAATATATCAATATATATATATATATATATATATATATATATATATAAATCAATAATTTAATAATAATAATAATAATGCGCTCAATTTAAAAGCAGGGCAATTCTAGTGAATGGTTAAACAATAAATTTAGAGATGGAATGCATGGACAATCCGGTTAGATACGTAAGGGACGTTGCAGCAATCAATGTTCTTTCGAAGGTGAGATTTTCAAGGAAATCGATTGAGACGCATTTTGAACGAGTATAATATCAACACTTTAATGTAGCAATTTAACTGATACACAAGAGTGATTCGTTCTTATTTATAATAAACAACTAGTAATAATTATCACTTACAGTAAATATGTATAAGGCGTAAAGCAAATAAAAATTTTATAACTCCTCACGATCACCATATACACAACATTAATATCTTACCGGTGTTCTCCGTTGTCGGTACCGGAACACAAAATGAAAAGGAAAAAAAAAGAAGAAACGTGCGCTTTGATTTTCATAACTTTTTCTTTTTTGTACGACGTCAGCATGTATTATCACATACGTTATATCGCATTGCGTGTCTTCGCGGAGAGAAGAAAAGAAAAAAAAACAATAAATTAACCGTGTCCTGAGAGAGTAAATTAATATTAAAGTATAATAATTTGCGGATTTTTACGCAATTGCTACAATATAAAACTCCGCCGTCGCATAACTTTCGCACCAGCCGCATCGGCGATCGCGTCGCAAGGAGAGATCCACGAGATTCTCTAGCATCCGGAATTTTTTTACATATATCGATATTCGCTTCAAACTGTCACGTGAGTTCGACTGTGAAATGCACCGAACGTCCAACGTCTACGCGGAGATATTGGGAGACGCGGCTTCAGACGCGACCACATGCGAAAGTTTGACAAATTATACATATCCGCTGTGCGGTATAAAAACGCAATACGAGACAGAACACGTACATCGTACACTTAGCACCGATAGATACCACATATCAAAGTAACAATAATAAATTTCATATTATAGAAATACAGAAAGAATGAGAATTAGAGAGAGTGTCGAATACGTTTAAAGAAATCGCCGGTAGACGATTCGGCTCGAAATCTTAGAGGGGGGAAAAAATCCTCAGAGGGATCACAACAATTATTTCCGTGGCTATTAAACAATAAGTGGTATTGCAAGACACCGAGAAGATCGTGAGAAAACATACGCGTCGAAATAGGTGGATTTACGAGGAAGAGATTAATTTCTATCGCAGAATGTCTACGTTCCTGTGTGTTATACATCTACGAGAAAAAACATCGGAAACTGACTGGAAATTTTTTTGTGTAATATTCTAATTATGAATCTTTTCACAATTAACTTTCATGTTTCACGTTGGACTTTCGAGTCGCGTAGCTCGCGAAGACTCAATCGTGAAATACTATCGAATGCATGGATCGATGAGAGCAACTTTGAAATTTAAATATAGGAAATAATTGTAGGTGATAGATGAAAAAGGTTGAAAAAGATAAAAATTAAGATAAGAGATACATCTCCGATCGATTATGATTTAGCGAAATAAAATATAAATCGAGAATATAAACTTAGCCACGGAAAAAAAGATTTATTAAAACAATTCCAAACTTCACTGATTCAATAAATTTACAATCATAATTACGGATAGCTAGTTTTCTATGCAAAGTTGTACAGCTGTATAAAATTAGCGATTAAGGATAATCATATTTGTTGTAATAGCACAATAAAGTTAATACAGCAAAGATAACTTTTTAAAAATCAATACAATATAGAGATGAAAATTTTTAATAGAAAAAACGCAGTATTTTTTGCTGTTATAATAAAGGAAACATTTATACGTTCATTAGCAATTTTCATTGCAGCAAAGAATTAGCATTTAACTGAATTAGCATACTAATAATTGCTTACAGACATAATTTTTTTATTGAATCACCAAATTTTAGTTGTAGATGTTAATTTCGCATAGTAAGTTTTAGATTTGCTGAACTCCATCTATTCTTTTCCCAATCTATTTTTTCCTGTGGCTCTCTTCTTAACATAAGGGAAGAACAAAAAAATTTTAGCAATGTCTTGAAACTATATTATCTTTCGATTAAATTCAACATATTGAAGAAAGAATCAAAAGAATCATACGTTTTAATTAGTTGTAACAATTCATCACAAATACAAAGTGTACCGTAGATTTATTCTAAATTTTTTTAGAAAGAAAGAGGATCGTTTCAACTAATAGCTTCACGAGTTACGCGTCTTCAACAAACGTTATCGAAGTAGATACTAGAACATGTTGGCAAGAATAAGGTGCAGAGAAAAGTTTTTGTAAGGCATAGGTCTTTTTGAAGATCAGCGATTAGAATTAGCGCTATAGAATTCTTGATGCATAAGCGATTAACTCGCAATATCGTTGATATTCTAAGGGCGAAACTCTAACGGCCAAGAACGCTACGATCCCTTAGGCAAGAGCGAAATTATAGAATATAGATAGAATAGGGAATATATCGGGGGATATAAGAACATGGTGGAGTTAAATTTCGAGAGAAGTTATGTTTCGTTTGTTCGGTTAACGGTTTTATCGTCCTCGAAATTGTTATACGTCGATAATAACATGAGAAACTATTTTAATTATTTTTTAACGGTCCGCATTGTAACTCTTAACTTCGTATATGTATATCTTAGCTTAGGAAGAAATATCACGACAAACACACGAGCAGCAAGTGTCATCGATATCGCTTCAACGAACATAACCGAATCTCTCTTTCTCTCTCTCTCTCTCTCTCTCTCTCTCTCTCTCTCTCTCTCTCTCTCTCTCTTTTCTCGCACAATTATTTATATATTTTCGTAAAATCTATTCATCTTTTTTTTTGTGCGTCTTTTTTTTATGCGTGCAAACTTTCCGCGAAACGACGAGCTATCGCACTAACTTTCTAATGAGCAGTTCTGGGGAAAAGAAGAGATCGCTACGGCGAGAAGAGATCGGAGGAGATCCTCATTTCTTCGGAGAAGAAAGAAGAACTCGGCAAATTGGTTTTCGTACTTCGGCGCACGTTTCTTTCTCTGTACATACATACATCGTATCGGATAGGAAAACATCAGAATGTGACGGTGCGATTAGACGGAAACCAGTAAAAATTCTCCGAGAAACAGGAGATTGTATCCGCGGTCTCGGGAATAATTTCCAAGGATGATCTTGAGGCACGCGTTCGATCAGAGACAGTGCTACGTCGTGAACGTTATCACAACCGACTTTTTCTCTTCCTAAGGTATTCGCGTCGACACACGAATGAATAACGATACAGTAATGAAAGTTCCGAACGGCACAATATACTTATTCCTTGCGGCTGAATTCTTGCTTGCAGTTCGATCGAGAAGCGTGAAAGGTTTTCGATGAACTTGATTATCATCATATCATAATGGACCAATGGACGTCTGGATTCGCTTGTATATTATGAATCCAGTAATTTGGAAAAATACAGTGCCATTGAACCTCTCATCGATTCGCACGGATAGCTGGACATAGGCGAGAAAGAACCACCGTGAGAGAAAAGAAAATTCTGAACCGATAAAAATTCTGTATTCTAACGTCATATTATAACAGCACTCGCGTATGAATTTTATGAAATTTCAATTAACGATTGTTAAACAGCAGTTTAACAATTGCAGTTAAATAAGTACGGACGAAATCTCATCTTAGACTTTGTCTCGCTTCTATTTTGCAATCAGTTCCTTCTTGCATAATTAATCAGCCATCACTGCGAGAAATGGATCAGAATTAAATGTTTATTGAAACTATACTGAAGGTACCAAACGCTAAACAGAATACATAATTAAAATGTCCGTGGTACGCAAAAACTAACCGGAGAACGCGAGTTAAAATTAAAAGACGCCCTCGCCTTTCAGGCACCATTTAAATGGTCTTAAAGATCTCATTGAAACGTCTAAGACACCTTTCAGGCGTCCTTTACGTATACTTTTCAATTGATCACGTTGATCCAGGTAAAAAGATTCTAGATAATTAATTGACAAATCGATCCATTAACTTTATAATAAATAAATATCATTTAGATATATTTTTTTTCTTTTTAAAGAAACTTTTAAACGCCTTTATATGTCTTTAGATGTCTTTTGGTTTTCGTTTGAATGCATATGGAATTTATAAACATAAAGGCGTGATGAGCAAATGTCGTCGTTTTGACAAAGTTTTTGATACTTGCGACTTAACCGGCGTCCACGCAACAGAGAACGAGCAGACGCGCGGATTTCATCTCGTTTCGCTTTTACGTCGTAAACATTCACGCTAAAACACTCATTATTTATTGAATTAAAATAGCGAATTTTTTCAAATTATTTACGAATCAATTTTGCGATAACACAAGGCAAATTAGTTGTCTTTTCTATATCTTTCTACATCCACATAATTCGACGATAAATACTTATTCTACATTACCTTAGACCATGCAACGTCGATCGGAATAGTTTAATATCGTAGTTATAATATCGAAACGACAAGTGAATTTTGCGAATATGATTCGCACGATTTATATAGCGAGTACTGAAATCGTGTTGTACAAAGTTAGACGTATTATCGCTGATTTACAATATACTTAAACTCTAGAATGAGAGAATGTGTTCTACACGCTTTTGATTTTTCCACTAGCAATAATGCTGTAAAATCCATGCGTATGTGTGACTATTCTTTTCGACGTTACATCGTGTAAGAGTGTTATAAGGACGCAAAAGTATATGACATTAGTTATGTTTAAGAAGAATAATCATTTTTCACATTTACATTTTCATTAAGAAATTAATTAAACTAAATAAAAAAAGAACAAAAAATGTGCAACTTGTATGTTTCTTTGATAATAGAATTTTGAAAAAAGTTTTAATGAAGTTTATATAAAGTGAAATTTCGGTAAAAGAGACGCATGCATATTGTAACAAGTACGAGATTTTAAGTTAGCAGAAAATAACGAAATCGTCATTATTTGAACAATTTTTATAGTAGAAAATTGTTAATATCTTACTTTCAAACAGCTATGCACGTTATTATTAATCGCGATCGCCTCAATATCATTCGTATTCTGATAAATCGGTACTCTGGTATTATTCATTTTTTGCCTTGAAAAGAGCTGTAAAATAGATATCAACCAAAAATCGAAAAATTATACCATTTCTATATTACGACCTTCTGTTCTGTGTAAGATTTAGTCACGATATTTTCTCGTGTTTATTGCTTTATTGATTCATCATTTTAAGGTACGATTTAAGTGTGTGACTGCCGACAAGTAATGGGACGTATTGGCAGTCCTATGCTATTTGATGTAATACGGATTTTGTTTTCAACGAACGCAACTACCTTTTACTGCTTGTAAATTCGAAGCTTTACTGTAGCTCTGAAATCTTGTCACAGAATAAAATCTGTTTCACTTAGTATAATCGGAAAAGTTCAAGTGTAACTTTAGAATCTTAACGTGTGTAATATACTTATATGCATTAACATTAATGAGGTTATTTATTTGTTTATACAATGACTGTATCGAGAGATTAGAGAGATATCATTAAATAGTCTTTATCCTTAAATATTAATGAGCACGAGGTGAATAGATGTACATCTTAGAAAGTACAATAGAGATATATATATATTATAATAGAGATTCTTGTATTATCTCTTTCTCTCTCTCTCTCTTTCTCTCTCTATATATATATAATATTTATATATATCTGCATCTGTATAACGCTCTTGTAAAACGCAATGCTGCTATACATTACGACCGAACGTAATAAAGTTAGAATTCTTTCATTACGACTCTGAAAACAATGCATTGTCGGACCGGGTGCCTCGTTGGGAGCGCGCAGCGCAACAAAATTATTTTTCCCGAGGGTACCGATCGAAGCATAGGACGAAAAGTGATTGCGTCGCTCGATAAGAGATAAGTGAAAAGGATGGGAAGAAGGGAGGAGATGCGAGAAAGCTTCATAGAAAGAAAGAAAGGCGAACTACAGGATAAGCCCAGCGAAGATCCATCCTCTCGACAAATGGCTGCGCAAGAAGCCGCCGGAAGTCACTCTTATCGTACACCGGAAAAAATATATATAGAAGCATAGATCATTTACGCTTGTGTTTGCTAACTGATTAAACAGACCCCAATAAAAAGTTGTTACTGAAGTAACTTTGATCAGAGTTTATTTCTTATAGATTTTTATAAAAAACAATGCTGCTCTCTCCCCCCTCCACATTGCTCTATTAAATTATTCACACAACGATTAATAGAGAAAAAATATAATAAATCATTAACCGTCAATAAAGTAATAAAAATAGACAAATGTTTGACATAGATATTAATTTTTTTTTTTAGCAAAAGATAAAAAATTGTCTCACAAAACTGTTTGTTACAGATACAGTGCGTAGAAAAGTAAGCACTTTCCTTATATTTGGCAAGATTAGTGAGAACAAATAGTCTGATTTCAATGTTATGAGTCCCATTCTTTTCATAATAAAATTCATTTCTTTTTAAAACTAGCTTATCATGAAAAGATAGAAAGAATTTTTAATAAAATTTCAAGAAAATTGACGAAGAGATCGGGATTCATTGAAATCTGACTATTCCTTCTCACAGATCTTAAAAATCAAAATAACTTTAAATCTTGACATGCAAATTTAGCCAGCGGCATTGTTTTTGTGATCGAAAACCTATAAGAAACATCTACTATAATTAAAGTTCTTTGACGACAATTCTTTTTCGTCGGCCTATGTTATCTGCCTCCGGACCGTTCCAATCGTGCGATAGCTTGAGCGAGCAAAAGGTTCGCCGTAAAAATGTCGGAACTCTGCTGCTGCGTGTATATTCGCGTGGGCGGAGATCGCGATCGCACTCACGATCCCTTTCGCTCTCCTATTTCATAATCAATAATACATAATTGTATAATATATCTATGTATGTATAATTATCGCGATCAATCGATCGATTGATACATAGTCGGACGATAGGGCGATAAGGCTCGCACTACGAGCCGTCTCTTTCTCTTCTAATTCTTCTTCTTTTTCTTCTTTTTCTCCATCACATTCGTTTCTCTTATTATCGGGCATACACACAATACATACATATATGTATATGTGTGTATGTACACACATGCACACGTACACACACACATGTATATACAGGATGTTTGGAAAATAATGATAAATCTTTCGCATAGAGGCAGAACTAAACTGAGAAGAAAAATCCTGTACCATTTTGCAATTTTTGTAATAGTTAACAAGATATTAATTAAAACGTATAAAAAGAAGAGCATAAGAAACCACGCACAAGTTATAGTTTGTGATATTTAATTATTATTACATTAATTAAAACGTTTCGGCCACAATCTGGCCATCTTCAGTAATTCATAATATTCTTAAAACGCAGAGTTACATCTAGTTGACATTAAATTCAACCGTCGTGTGTTGTAATTATATAAACGTGTTCTTTTCTATGTGAAGATTCTTCGTACAGAGAAGATATTAATTACCGAAAATTGATCTTCAATAATTTTTTATTCAAATAGTATCAACTTGACAAAAAAACTGCAAAAAACAAAAATTGTTTATTTTCTTCTCATAGAATTCTATGAATTTTTTCAGAATTTTTTATTAATTTTTTAGTACTACATTTTTTCAACATGAGAAAATACGGTATTAAAAAATTCTGAAAAAAATATTCTAAAAATATTCTTAGAGCTCTATGAGAAGAAAACTAACAATTTTTGTCTCTTACAGTTTTTCTATAAAGTTGATAGTATTTGAGTAAAAAATTATTGAAGATCAATTTTCGGCAATTTTTAACAATTAATATCTTGTTAACTATTGCGAAAATTACAAAATGGCAGAGGACTTTTCTTCTCAGTTTAGTCCATTCTGCCCTTATGCAAAAGATTTATCATTATTTTCCAAATACCCTGTATATTAGGTTAGGTTAGGATTAGGGTATCTCTGATTGAGATTTCATAGACCTATATTTCTCACACACACACACACACACACACACACACACACACACACACACACACACACACACACACACACACACACACACACACCACGCACGCACACACACAAACATACACACACATGTACTGTGCGTACGTACGTGCCCGATCGCGAGTTGGCAGTCGTCGAGATCGGACGTATTTGTTGTGTCTCTGTTATTAGACCTTTGTAATCTTTTCAGTTATAGTTTCATTCGTTATATGCCGGAAGTGTGGTGCTATGGCTGACCAGCGTGTCTTCATTTATCGAGTAGCGTTGTAACAGGACTGCGTTACTGTAGTTGAGCCGATTTACTGCAGCTCTATTAATTGAGTCGATAATTTAAACGCCTACGTCTTGCGATAATCGTGCACTGAGAACTCGCTGCTTCGCTTCCGTTCTCGCTAACGCCAACATTCTTGACAGGTTGGCTAACTCGTTGCTCTATCTTATTTTATAATTTTATATATATATGTATGTATGTGTGTGTGTGTGTGTGTATATATATATATATATATATATGTGTATATATATGTATGTATATATATATATATATATATATATCTTTTTATATCTATCTTACATCATAATCTCATTGTTCGTTACATTTATTTCAAATTGTATATATTGCTGCCGTATTTATTGTTTATTCAATTTTCGTGTGTCGTGTATCTTATAAAATCTAATTATTTGTTTTGTTTATGTATTCTTGCGAAAGAAAATTTATACGAGACTAACCATGGGTCAAACCAAATGTCAAAATGTAAGCGCTTCCTGCCTCGCTCCGGAGTCTGCACTTTCTGCAAGATAGATAACAATGTTACAACGGTTAGCATAGTAACGCCAGTTCGTCTCTTTCCGCTGATGCTGAAAATATAAATAAAATGCTCCAGGTACCGATCTCGTCTCTCTCCCTCTGAGTCCACGGATTTCAGACTGTAAACGTAAATCACGACGTTATTTTAACATTCGTCAATCTCGACGTAATCCTGGGAAATTTACTAAAATCGACATTATTAATGATCATATTGCTAGCCTTGAATTGAAGATATGTTCTATTGATAATCATAGTTAAACTCAATTCTCTTTGAATCTAGAATGCAGCGGCTTGAGAGTGATCTGGCTCAGTAAAGTGCGCTGTTCGGTTGATCGTGCTGTGGCTCTGGTTAATGAATTGTCTTCTAAACAACATCTTGAGGAGAGGCTCAAGGATTTAGATTCTCGCTGTGCCAGGCTCGAATCCGTCCCTGTGGCCCAGAATGATGCAGTACATGCTCAGACGGATGAGGCGCTGAGCTGCAGGAGCTGAGGGATCGTTTGGAGAGTTTTGAGCGTAATCAGAGAGACCTGGAGCTTATCATCTTCGACCTTTCAAATGTGCTGGACGGGGAGATGCTTGATGCATTGTCGCTTGTTGCCTCTCATCTGGGAACGGCTGTTGTGGCTGCTGATAATAACTTATCTTCAAGATCCAAGGCTGCATTTCGTCGTCGTGCGTTTTACTATGGTAGCTAAGTGAAATCAATTGATTGCATTGGCTCGTCGTCAGGAGAGTTTTGTCGCTTCAACTCTTGCACGCGGCACGTGGTCTTCTAACAAAGTACTGATCTGCGAGTGCATCTCAGAGACGTATTTATAACGAGGCAAGGAATCTTGTAAAAATCTTTGGCGTGAGATATGTTTGGATGCATCGAGGCGTTACCTATTTTTGCTCTTGTGACGGTGCGAATTCTCAACGATATTTCTCATCTGAATCGATACGGAGTGTCACGACGGCTTCTGCTTCCCGTCACGTCCTGCTTGCTTCCTCTGTTTCTCTACTTTTCTCATCCACCTCAGCATCCCCTGTCATTCAGTCCTCACCGCCTATCTCTGCTGGTCCCTCCATGTCTCCACTTAACTGACTATTCGATGGCAATTATTCTCTTGTCCCGTCGACGTTTCTCACAATTGATACTGTCAAACTTCATTATCGAATCTGGGGGGGGGGAAGCGTTGCGTATAGCACATATAAATATAAGATCTCTTGTGCCTCATTTTCCATCTATTATTGACTTATTTATGTGAGTTTGATATACTCGCGATCAGCGAAACTTGGCTGAGAGAGGCAGACTCAGAGTGGCTCTCAACATTGACAACTATCATTTTATTCATTGTCAGATTTACAACATTGACAGATTTATTGGAAATCGTGATGGTGGTATCGCGCTTTATATAATTACTTGTCGTGCTCATCCATTGATTTCGTTATCTCTCCAGCTAATATTTCTATCGATGTAATGATTTTCTTGAGAAAAGAGCGCATTGCGATTTTTTTGATGTACCCCACGCTCACCGCTTTCTGAACTGTCTTTTGTCGAATTATGTATTTCTCGTGCAGCAGTATTATCATGGGCGATTTTAATATTGACATGCTTAGCGGTCTTAATCCGGGAGTCGACAATATTAAGGATAATGTCTTTATTTCCGCTGAATCAAATCATCAGTTCTCGAATTACTAGCAATTCTGTTTCCTTGCTTGATTTAATTATGCTTTCGTCTAGCATTGATATAACTACTGCGGGAATTGATGATTTGATGCACATTAGTTACCATCTTATTGTATTTGCGCATTTAACACTAGCTAAGCCCCATCATCGAGTGTTAACTTTTAGGCGTAATCTTGCAAGCATTTCTGATGTGTCCCTGCTATGTGAACTGGGAGGCTGTTGATTGGTCTCAGATTTACAACGCTACTCACCTTGAGAAGGTTTATATCTTTGAATCACCAATCTTATTCATTTTTGATCGGCTTGATTTTTGACCCGCTAACGGTCAGACACATTAACAGGCCTCGGATTACTGCACCATGGATTACTCCTGCTATACATGGACTTATCAAATTAAAAAGTCGCTCACTGCGTAGATATCAGCGCTCTCGTGATCAATCTAATTGACAACGTTTCAAAACCTTGCGTAATCTAGCAAACTCAGCGATTTATAAAGAGAAGCGTTCTTTTTTCGATTGCTCACTCTCAAACATCTCTAGATGGCAATTCTGGAGGAACTTCTCCTATCTTGGTGATCATTGCTCTTCCAACATTAATATTCCTGAACATCTCCATAATCCTGATGTGTTAAACAGCTATTTCATCGATTCTCTTCCATCTAATACTTCTTCATCACTTTCATCAATCCATCTTCTTCAAACGCGTTATGAACTGGCAAAGTCTTTAATCTTATAACACTTGCTGAGCTATAACATATTAGCAAAGATTAAGCTCATGTCTTCCGGACTATATGATCTCTCAGGTCATATAGTCTGTATCATATGTTTATGTTTATGTATATCTCACTGTCTTGATCCTTACAAGCATAATCTTCAGCTCATTGCTAACTAGTCTGCATTAAATCTGTCTCTGAATTCTGCCAAGTCTCAATATTTAGTTGTTGGTTCTCCTGCGCTATTATCCCGTCTACAATCTTTCAATGTATCTCTTAATTCCGTTCCCCTTGAGACTTCCTCTGTTATTCGCATTTTCGGCCTTTATTTAATTGCTCTTGGTCATTTGTACATCATGTCACCCTCAAATGTAGAGCAGCTTATGCGTGTCTTCGTCTCTTATATCTTCTTCGTCATATATTCACTCTGTCTCACAGAAACTTCATTCAAGTACTAGTCCTTTCTTTATTCGACTACGCCGATATCATGTATGTGCCTAGTTTGAATAAATAATCCTTGATCCGCACACAACGTGTGCAAAATTCCTGTCATCGATTTACGTATGGTAGTGTAAAATATGATCACATCATTCCCTTTAAATAATTTGGCTGATTGAATATTAAACAACGATTTATTCTTCATTTATGCTGCATAGTCTTCAATGTTCTCAATACTCCATCATATCTTCGTAATCTCTTACATTTGAACTCCGAATTCCATGCTTCCCTACCTGATACCCGTTATAATGATCTTCTTTCTTTTCCTGCTTACTGTTCCGTCAAATTTCGTGCCTCTTTCTTATTTACCGTAGCTAAATAACCTTTTTATTCTTTCGATATAAGATCCTCCTCTTCCTTCTCTTCTTTTCGTCCTTTTGCTTCTCAGTTTATCTTGTCTCATGTTATTTAATATTTAACTTCAAATCAATTTCATTGGTTAGGCTATATATTAGCTGTAATGCTATTGCCTCGCCTTTTGCTTGCACTCTGCTTTTGTCTTTACTTTCCTTCTGTATTAATTACTGTAATTCATTTATAAATGCATGCAATAAAATTATTATTATTATTATACATACATACATACATACATACATACATACATACATACACACCCACACACACACACACACACACACACACATATATATATATATGCACACTCTCGCACGCTCTCACAGATACGCGGGACGCACGCATTCACAAAAATAAATCTCTAAATACGGCGCGTATGAAGTTCTTTCTTCTTCTTCATCTGTCGGTCGCTCGGCGAAGCGTGAAGCTTTCGCTAAAGCTAAGGGCCAGTCGCTCTGATCGGCAAAGATACGCTTTTTACTTCCCTTAACGAGATTGGAAAGAGGCGGATCTCTTATGCTTATCCGTGTACGATTTACGTTCGTTCTACTATACCTCCATAATGACAAAGGTCACTAGAAATCATAAAATGACCGCGAGATGAGTAACAGCAATGTAAAGGACAAACCTTTCCGCGATTCAATGGAATAACAGCTCTCTGAGATATAGCGTCGCATAGAATAAGTATTATAAATCGAAGCGTCGTGACGGGCATATAAAGACTAGTCGCTCCTTTTTTACATTCGCGACACACATAAATCAAAGCGGATCGAGTCGAGTATTCTTTTCTTCTTTGCAGCACCTTCGACGAGAGAGCAACCTAATCCGTGTTAGTGTGATGGTCATCGTCGCGTCACGCAGCCGTTTTCTTCTCTTCCAACTAGCTCAAGCTCTAGATCGGTCTCTAAGCGCGTTAACTAGCAAAAAGCCAGCGCGCGTTCGCAATTTCGCAGTGACCTTTCCTAAATCTCGCGGATCTCTAAATCACTAAGTTTTTCGTTGCTAGCGCGCGGCATGGGACGCTACGCGACCATTAGTCTCCTGTGAGTCTTTTCTGTTAAATGGGTCAGTCCGTTTAATGGGTGGGCCGAGAGGCGAGACATTCGGGGTCCATTGAGGGCGGGAGATGCGATACCGCGTGTCCCTCCCGAAGGGACGTGGCGATCTCCTCGTTCGGATCGGGTATCAGATACCAAGCAGGACGAGGCGATGTGCAAGGACGACGACGGCGACGGCGAACGGCCGAAGAGCGAGACCATTTCGAGTCTCCGTACGCTGAGATCGGCAGTCCGAGGATGCGTCGATGCCGCGATCTGTATATACAAGGATTCGCTATGACGCGTGACGTTTTTTGATCCGTACACTCTCGCTATCTGAAAGAGAGAGGAAAAGAGAGAAAGAGAGAGGATAATGGAACTTGAACGTCACTCATCGAAGCTCCTGTTCGCTCTGCATGCGTGTCACCGAAAATCACGGGTATTACGAACACAGAGAGTATTTTAGAATTTCGCTAAACGTCTCATGACATCTCGAACGGTCGGGTCAACCGAGCTACAGAGCCTGCCGAGGTGCGTCGGCGGCATCGACGCAACGTCCTCTCTTTCGCGGATGGCGTTCGTCGCTCGGGCGCGGCGCGCTTTTTAATACGACCCGAAAAGGCGTAACAAGCTTCTCGCTAAACCGATCCGTCAATGAAACGGAGCGACTGGACTAGTCTTGTCGACTAGCTTGCGGTATGCGCAAGCGCCATGGGCCCAGTGACCCTGGACCTCTCGGATACCGGCCCAATTCATAGAAGCCCTTACACACCGATTCGCGCATAAGCGCCCGCGATCATAGATATCTGTCAGAAACTGCCAAAACAATATCTTCGAATAACATATTTAAAACATCATCCACATTAGGGGATTAAAACTAAGAGATATTATTAATCACGTTCGGCTGTTAATCATATAAATTCCCGTTTTTCTCTCTCCAATACATATCGATATTCGAATCTCTAATGTTTTCCATTGTGATCCAAAATGTGATCCATTGTAACCAATTATAATTATAACATATGTAACTATACATATTCGTTCATCTAACAATCACATTTCGCGCATTAATATCTCTAGTTCTCAAATGTAGAAAATATTAGCAGAGTAACATTATTTCTGTTTATAAATATATTACATTACATTAAAACATTCAAAACAACTGGACGTATGAAGATAATATTTCGAGAGCTTCCTTGATAGACTACCAGATTATCAAACGTCGGTAGGCAACTTCTTACGATCGCGTCGCTTCTGCTTGGGATACTAATTGGGCCGGGCACCGATTTGGGTATGCAGATGGCATATTGATATTTGTCTGTATTGGCCCAGGGCCTCACTGAGCTTGTGCACTAGGATCGCACTGCAACAGTCGCACGATAGATGGGTCGCTTTTCGCACCCTCTATAAATTCGTCAAGCGATAGCTTGCCGTCCTTGTTCTTATCCATCTGTCGGAATATCTTATCAGTTCGTTTCTCCGGCGTCGACTCGTCTTCTGGCATTTTCATTACGGAGCCCACCATCTTGTAGATCGCCTGAAATCAACATTATAATGAAGTTGAATAGAATTTATTACATACTTCATAAAACATTAGCCACATTCAACAGAAATTAACGCTTAATAAGCGCATTGCGCTTGTTAGATTATATTTTTAGATCTAGAGAAATAGTCCCCTGAGCAAAGAAAATTTCCAGCGGAAAATGCAAAAATACTACTGAATACGGTCAACGTTTCCGATCAAATTCGAGAAAGAGTTATCGGAACTGGAAACAGTAATTCAAAAATTCAATATTGTACGCTGATTAACTGATGTACAATATAAAAAAAATAATAATATGTAATAATATAATAAATTACGAACCAAAAAATGATAATTAAAAGTATAATTACATTGAAAATAACGATCCATTTGTTAAAGAAATGATATTTTACGCATAACGACATACACGACATTATCTTTCATTACGAGTATATAATACATAAATGTAGAATCAATTTTTCTTCAAAAATTAAATGAAAATTTTCTTAACTTTGGAATCACATACAATTTAATGTTGAAAATTCTTTCAGTTCAATCATAATTCATAAGATAATGACATTTCTTAAATAATCTTTTTCATTAAGAGCTATAAAACGTTGATATTATGGATGTGGGCATTGAGAATTCTTAAATCAACGAAATACATTTAATAACATGGAAGCAATGATACAGTCGAACTATATATTAAGCTTAGAGTGACTTTATTACACCGTAAATTATTAAACTACATCTCAGTCCCTCGCGTATTCGCGAGTCAAATTTTATGGCTTGGCACGTACCGTCACGATTTCCAGCATTTCTTGTCGCGAGATGTAACCGTTGCCATCCAGATCATACATGCTGAAGGCCCACTTTAACTTCTGCTCCAACTTGCCTCGGGATGTAACGCTGAGAGCGCAGAGAAATTCCCGAAAATCGATCGTGCCATCGCCGTTTGCGTCGAACGTCCTGAATACGTGCTCTGCGAACTACGAGAAGTCATGTAATAAATTTTTAAAGAGCGTAAATAATTCCGCGCGAGCCAGCACGCGAAATGTTAATAAATTCATTGATTATATCCGTATATATCCGCGGCTGTAACTCTTTATCCGAGATTTTTCCATTTACCTTTGACGCGTCGCCGTAAGGAAAGAAATTTCCATATATCTTCTTGAACTCCTCCACGCTGAGATGCCCACTGGGACAATCCTTTAAGAATCCTTTATACCACTCTTGGATCTCCGCATCTTCGAAAGAAAAAAATCATAAAATATTATTTGTACCTGGCTACCTTAACGTTACTCACATGTCCTCCAGACACAAATCCGCGAGCTAAATATTTATTAATAACGTCGAATTTAATATTAGTTAATATTAGTTAATTTCGATTATATATATTAATTCTTTGATGCGCTCTAAATAAAAATACTCCTTGTATGTAAATATCTATTGCATTCTTATTGTAATCTTGAAAGAGCTAGCTTATTTAAGAGTCTTAGTTTATCTCTTCACTAGAAACTTGAATGTTCTATATCATTATATGTGCAACATAGATAATAAATAGCACGTCAGAAGATTTTCTATTAATTAATTATTATAGAAAACGACGCACCTGAGAATTCAGTATTCTGTTTGAGATCCTCCAGCACTTCCGGCTTTAACTTGCTGTTTTGCTTCCCCATGGTTGTTTGAAGTCCCTTCCAAAATCCTCCGATTTTCCGACGATTTTCCGGTATCCAATTAGCAGATAATTAAAGCTCTAACTAGTCTACTATTCTAATAGTGCCGTTAAGCACAACACGCTTCGCGGCTGGTATTCTTCACCAGACACGCCTGAAAGAAAAAGAGACGTTCGGTAACTTTCAGGAGACTTTCGCGATTAAGTTGGCTTAACGGCGAGGAACAGAAGCCGATGGATGTTCGATAAGTCATACCGTTTTTCCCGCTCAATCGCTTCGTCGAAAATGACTATTACTTCGCCGGGCCGCACTCGAGATCGATCGTCTCGTTGCAATTAGCGTGCAAAACGAACGAATAAAAACGCGCGTCTGGACAAGATACTTTTCTCTCTGAAGAATCGCAAATTCTGTAAACGATTGAATGTCAAAGGCTACATAGATACTAAACTCGACGGCAACGATGACGACGAAGAGTAAAAAAGATTCCGCGTAAATCAGGTGCGCATTCCATTAAAGTCCTTTGATCTTTATTAACGTTCAACCTTTGCGATCAGTACCGTTAAATATTACAGCCACGTTATACGAAAAATAAAACGATCAACGCTCCGCGTCGAAATTATTTAAGAAAAAGATACGATTCCGGCCACCATCGTTCTTCCAATTCAACCAACTTTCTTCACTATCGGAAACGAATGTTTATGGAATTACGAGCGTTTTACGTATCTATCGGTTTTACGTATTTAGAAGAAATGCATTTGCAACATATATAAATAAAGGGGATGCATCTTGGGGATGTGCGGTGATAAGTGAAGGTTTAAGGCAGGGCGAGTATCTCATACATACATTCGCAATCATACGCATTCACGCAACTGTAACAGAAGAAAATTTCAAGATTAATAGAGCAATAATAGAGTAATAATAATAATAATAATACATTTGGAGCGTAGTGTGTGCTTTATTATAATAATATTAGTAATGAGACGATAATATGCGGGCTCTCGCGGTCCTTTGCCGCGTGTAACTCGCATACAAAATACGAGTTTGCTTCGATATATATAGTATATGAAGTTTCATATATAATATACAATATATAATATATATATTATATATATATGTATATCGCTTAAACGGAATTAATTATACCACAATATAATAATTGTAATACGTAAGTACTAGATCTTATGGTAAATAATTATTAATTAAATCCTATGTGTGTGTGTGTTTTTTTGGCGCACGTATATTATGCGTACACGAACGATAAATTCGCTCGGGGATGCGACATCGTGCAGTGATGCAATCTCGCACGGTCGCTCATTCGTTACGTACAGATAACCGACGACGGCAGGCAGCATCCCTTCGTCGTCCCGAACGACGACGTCCCGGGAGAGAGAGAAGATCCTCCGGGTCTCTCCCTGAGGCGTTTTCAGCGAGTTGCATCCCGGTGAAACGTGCGGGTGATGGCCCGCCACGCGCGTTTCCCCGATGAGATGACGCTCGGCAACATACATGTTCACGTAACAATACTTTCGTAAGATCTGTCGATCTGTAGGTCGCGACCCGACGTCGGTTCTTATACGTGCGGACATGTGAATGACGCGTGAAACACGCTGTCGTCTTCGTCACGAATCGATTGCATGCGTAGACTTTATCGTCGTAAATGAATTACTCCATCCCGAGATCGCTTCTTCAGCAGCTGCATCCATCCGGATCCATCTCATGAAACTCGAGAAATCGGCCGGTGATGGACGCTGCGTCGTAGTAAAATTGTATGATCTCGGGACAGCGATGACGCTCGCGAAATTGTCGCGATTTATGTCCGCTTGTTAACGGAGAAGTAGCACATTTTCAGAGACAAACCGTCGCGCTTTTTATCGCGAAATTTTTCACGGGAGACTGCTTGCCACGTGAAAGTTGCATCTGTGAGCTCGTCGCTGTAAGTTCGGCAGATAAAATTCTGGTTTGATGTATTTAACTACCCCTTGATCACGCTGACAGTTAAAAGCCTGTTTTCGTGTTGTGCTTGTGACAACAATCTCAGGACTGACATTTTTACAATTATATTCCTGTCGGTTCTGTCCCATATATATTCTGAACTTATTAAAATACAAAATTACAATTACAAAGATTTAACATATTCTTCTGACCAATTCACCAGATTTTATGAAATAAACTACAGTGTCAGTTTTTCTGTCATCTTTTCTTTAACTATAATACATCGGTTGTATCGCATCCAAATTATTACGTTGATTTAACAGCGATATAATATACATTATTAACCCTTTCGGAGTCGATCTTCGTCCGGAAATGGTGTTTTACATTAAATGATTGTTTTGTCTAAATAGACAAATTGAAGTTATTTAAAAAGGATTAGTCATAAAAGAAATATTTAATAAAAAAAAAACGAGTTCGGGAAACTAATTCTAATTTAGGATAATTATAAAAATAATTTCAAAAAGATTACAAATTTATATTACAAATATACTGCTATGAATTACGCAATGAAAAGCACGCACGCAATATCGCGAGTGAATACAAAGCCAAAAGGGTCAATATATAAAGACGTCGTGTCGCATACTAAGAGATTATGACATTGTTGCGATCTAAAAAAAGAAGCGTACGAATGCGATTTAAGCGAATCAAATCACGTATTCTTGAAAGTCGTTGATTGTAAATCCCGCAGAATACGCGTAATACACTCGATACACCAAAGTACATAATACGCTAATTACGAGATATTTACGATATACGCTACGGAAATCTCGCGTAATCAGTGGATGCGTTAATTACGCATTCGCTTTAATCAAATAAACTGATTTATTTAGCCGTTCAAAACAACCTGCTTACGCGTCGCTTCGTTACAAAGACGAGAAAGACTCTCGTTGCGATTCTGTGGAGCTCGAATAAGCTCACACAACACCTTTCATTGCAAATATATATTAAATACGTATCTATGTTGCATTTACATTGCGTTTTATTTCATATCAAATATAATGTACCTTTTAAATACGTAATTAACGCAATGGACGTGAAATATCCAAGTCAAAATACGTAACAGTAAATATACTGTGCATATTTAAATGCATGGATATATCAAACACGTAGTTAATACATATTTAACAGAATGTAATAATATGTTACAAAATCGCGTGCATAGTAGCATCATATAACATTTAAAAAATCATAAACGGACAGTTTTGAGCAAGTTTTTGTGTGCGCAGTTATTATCTGAATCGAAGAATAAACAAATTTAACAATATTAAAGTATCATATATTAGACCGCGTGAATACACAGTAGTCAAGAAATAAATTATTTCGGTCAAGCTTGGATTTTTAGTACTGATCGAAACAATTCCATGTAAAATAAATTTAAGTTAAAGAGATAATAAGAAGATAATTTAAATTAAACAATAAGTCAGAGGTAAGTTCTTATTTTGTAACATATTTGAATATACGTTTGAATGTAATTGCTGTACAATTAATGCATATCCGATTTTTTTTATAGGTTATATAACACATAGTACATTTTGAACGTATTTGCAATATTAGAGATATGTATCAAATACATAATTTACGTATTTAATACGTATCGAATTTAATACGTATCGAATATATATTATATATTATCATATGTATTTGGTATGCATGGTATAATGTAAATTATATGTCTATAGAGCGGACATTCATCGGTATTTAATATATCTGGTACATGATTCATACGTATTGTTACGTATCTGCTATACAGCAACATTTCAAATTTCATGTATCTGCTACGTATCTGAAATCTAAAATGTTGTGCGGGAGCATATTCGGATCGGCGGACGTAATAGCGTAATAGCATAATATAGATCGGAATCAGGTAAAAGTTTTAACGATGTAGATAATGATAAAAGTATTGCAGTTCCCTTTTTCTTCATGATCAACGTGCGCCATGGCGAAGATTTAATTTTAGATATAACTCTCGGAGCTGTGATATCGCTTGTATCCTCATTTTCTAAATGTCATTTTTTTAAAAAGATATTTCTCTCTTCAAAAGACATTCTTCTTTTGCAACTAAATTTTTTAAAATCTCGTTATAGCACTATTCAAGAGCAAATATCCCTCTTCTGATTTTTTAAATCAATCGTCGCGCGATCCAAAAATACTCAAATAGAAATCATAAAATGTGTGTTATAACTAACTTATGTTATATTGTTAAGTATTTAATAAATTAAAATTCTCTATTATATCAAAAGAGCAATAATAACTCATGCTTTGAGTTAAATAATGTCTTATCTTTTACTTTCATGAGTGTCAAAATGTAAATCAATTCATTTTTGTGATTAGTTTCAAACTAAACAATATTCATATTAACGTATACAATTCGAAAATAATCATCAATTAAATTTAAGTCAAATTTAATACATTTTTTAAGTTAAATTATTTAAGTCCATTGAGTTAAAATTAATTGAGTAGGAACAGTGGCAACTTAAATATAGAAATGGTTAAAAATAATTCAAATTGAATGTAATTTGACACTATGAATTTAACAATGAGCCATTCATAGCTTTCACGATTTGTTGTAGATCGAAAATGCGAAACAAGTGCCAGGAATATTTACCATATTTTCCACGATCGTAATACATCTTACAGTAGCTTTAATCGAGCAATATTAATGCTACTGCATTGTAATGAATGTTTGAAACATACATTTTATCGATTTTTCCTGTTGCACCTTGCATTATGTTTCATTTTTATTCTACCACTAGTGATAGAAGGGAATTGCGGGACAATTATTGGAACGACATATATTTAACTCCAAAGCTAATAGCTTCTTTCTTGTAAATTATTTCGCGACTTTTTGCACAGCAAATTAAAAATTCATATTATTCAACAAAACGCACATCATTTTCATAATCATAAAAAATATGGTTCATACTATTTAACGAATAAATGCCGTGCCATTTCTTCCCTTTTCGTTGCGTATTATCTAATAAGGTAAATCCCTGTTCTTTTATCTCGGTGATGTCACGAGTCATAAGCTCGTTATGGCCTTCGGACAAAATTGATACCCCCTGAAAGATTTATATCTGTTGTCTCGCGTTCTGATCGGTAACGACCTTCTCCGGAAAAATGATTTTACTTGAAATGTGAAACGACCGTATGCAAAGTGCCACG